TGTTAACTCCATAAGCCACAGAATAGGGAGGTTTCCTCTATAAGCTATTTTTTGATTTTTCAGTATTTTCTAATGAGTTGTTTGCCATACTTTACGTAAGCACAGATTCCTCTGATTTTCTTTCTCTATTCAACAGAAACCATGTTATGCCTGTAAAACAGACACTTCTTGTCTTATAGGTGAAAAAGACACTGAACATGAGTTGGATGTGGTCCTTGGGACCATCTGTTTTGCAAATTGTGCCATTGAGCTAACCCTGTTAAGGCAACCTCAAGTTCTGCTAGGATCTTTTCATATGGATAAATGAAAAAATACAGATACATATATGGATGAATACACCTCAAAGGCAGGATGTGAAGCACTGATAGGCATATAGGTATGATTAAAAAAGGAAGCTAAGCAGCAGAGTTCCTTGTGGGACCACAACAAACCTGGTGAGCAGAGCCTTGGTGCTTGACTGTGTGCAGCTGTTGTGTAGATCTCATGGCCAACTCAAATTACAAGGCAACACACAATTGTAATTCAAATGAAACTTAGTTACTCTTCCAGTAACTTTGGATGCATTTGTGGAGAGGATGTGGAGCGACATTTTCATTTGGCTTTCTTGAAAATAACTGGCATTCTCCATTTGTAAGGAAGCTCATTATGGTATTTTTGTTCCGTCATGTAAGTAAACTTCTGGAGGATCATAAATGCCTAATATAACAGTAGTCTTCAGGCATTCTTAACTAAAATTGTATTTTATCTTCCACCAGCTGTGCATTTCCAGGAGTGTAAATGATCCTTAGGATAAGCTGTCTGTAAGACTTACTGCTCTAAACACAGAGAGCCATAGTAACAAATAGCTCTGTATTTTCCACATCATCCTTCTGCAGTTGATTCGTTCTCATGGATGTGTGGACACTTGCAGAGTTTGTAGAGAAAATGGTCTGCTCCTAGAAAGCTAGTTCCTATTAATTCCTAAATTATTTGTATAACTTTTTTTTTCCATGCATGAAACATTCATATGAATTGCATGAAGCCTTAAGGTACCAAGCTTATGCCTTATATTTTCCTTCTCCCAGGAAAAGTGTGATAGGAGCAGTTTTGTCCAAATTAAGTACTGATTATTTCAGCCATCTAAATCCAGTTTGTGATTTTCAGTGGATAAGGTGCTGTCATTGTCCAGTTCTTACCCTATTCTTTTCTCACAGCCACGCTGTGCAATGTTGCATAGTTACCATTCTATAACCCAAATGTTGTTGCAATAGAGTGGAGAGAGTTTTGTTGCTCTCTGGGCAATACATAGAGGATGTATATTTTATGAGATGCTAAGCAAGTGCTGCATGGCTATAAATTTCTGTGGGTTTTTCTCATGCTGTACAAGCTGCTAATAAAGTGATTTATGTTTTAAACATATTTTCACTTTCCTTGTTCATTCTGCTTTTTTCAAGTTTGAAAACTGAAGTAATTTTAGTAATTAGTTATTTCGGGAAGAGAGGTGGAGATAGTCAGCTGGGCACTGTGTACAGAAAGTGCTACAGCCAGGGGGTGGTTGGCTTTCTCTCTCCATGCACAAAAATCTGGGCTCTGGTAACTGAGGTCAGGGAGAGGGATCCCTCTGGATCGTGCCTGCTGGAATAAAGACCAGCTCACTTATTAATGCCTTCATTCAGCATCACAGAAAGGGGTGAGAGGGAAGAGGATCCTGAGCCTGCAGCCATGTGGAAAGCCAGTCAGGTGAAGCCTCTCTGCAGCCTTGCAGCAGACTGAGCCCTCTTTTCTTTCCTGCCTTTGTGGTTGAAGGAGAGAAATGGAGGGCTGCAGAGGGAATAATCAGCAGTACCCTCCTCAGCCAGGCAGCCATCTCCTCCTACTGACCTTGAAGCAATGAAAAAGGGATAGATTCTTCTGCAGGTTACCTCTGTGTGTACAGATAATGAGAGCAGAGAGTAATGATCATAAATCTACATGGCTTTGCCTGTTTGAAAGTCTGGGCCATGGGAAAAAGGACAGTACATAGTTTATTTTCAGTCTGTAATTCACATAAGTATTTGTTCCAAAGTGTTCCTTCTGGAGGTGGATTTTTTTTTTTTTGCCTTGTACTTTATTTTATGCAGCGGTGGTTTTAATTCAAATTAACCTATTCCCTTTTGTTGACTTCAGTTTTCAATATGAGAATAGCTGTATTTCCCAAACCAGCAATAAACTGGTTTGATATTTGCATTTGTTTAAATGTAGTAACTTTTCATTAGTTAATACAGTACAGTTATGTTGGTGTAGAACTGTGCCTATGAAAGAAAAAATAAACCAAGTCCTAAGTATGAAGTAGATGTGTAGGACTTGTATTTAATATTTCTTTTAGAAAACAAAAATAAATTAAAAAAACCCACCCCAACCACAAACTCCCTCCCTCCCCCAAAAAAAGGAAAACTCTTCTAAATTAGCTATGGTTTTAAAAAAAACCAACAAAAAATAAAAGTAAAAATAAAAATAAAAAAACACCTTGGAATTTGGGAGTTTGCTTTCAGATGTTGAACTGCCATACATACAGTAACCAGAAAGTTGTCTTTGGCAATTTGTTCATTCCCCTCCCAGCGAGATGAATTTCATTAAGGCAGTTCCTTATAAAACATTAACTCAGAAACTGGAAGGAATCTGAGTCAGAAAATAATTAAGTAACCCTAATGATGTAGTAGTCCAACTACCGTGGCCAATGGATAAAGAATAGTAGCAAGGTGTTTTAGTACTTAGCTAAGATGCCAGGGTAATGTCAGCCAATAAATGATGTCATGCAGTCAGAGGCAGGGTTTGGTCAACACAAACTGACAATTTTGTCTTTTAATCCTACTACGTACGATAACAAAACATCAGGAAGAACTATATTTAAAAACAGAGGGAATGTACTGAGCCACTAGAAGAGCTTGTTGCATTGTTTTCCCTCTGAGTGAGATCTCAAGTGAGATGATGGCTGTGCCAGTACTGAGCCCTTCCCCCTCCCCAGCACAGGATTAACCTCTGAAATGGCAGCAGCATTTCCTCTCTGGAGCAAATGGGACTGTGCTGGGGAGTTTTACATTTTGCTTGTATTCCCATGGTGAAGTCACTATGTGAGTGTTGGGAGCAAGGCTGAAGCATAAGGGAGATGCTGACCTCTCAGTGAGAATGCAGCCCTTGGGATTGACAGAATGAAACACAGTCTGACCCAGAGCATGGGGGGCCTGCAAGTCTGGCACTCTGGAGCAGCTAGGATGGTGGTCATAAGTTTTTCCTCTTTGGCGGCCAATTATGCTGTTAGGGCTTGCCTTTGGCCAGAGCAAACACTGTAGCTGAGCTGTGCTTGTTGGGGAATTAGGGAGGACAGAGGGAGGAGTTGCCTGGCTTTGGCTCTCTGCTGGAGAGCGGGAGGTGATGGCTGGCCACAGTGTACTCTGGCTGCTCCCCCAGCACAGCCTGGGGCCTGGAGGTGATCTGGTCATGTGGTAAGCACATTTATTTCATCAGCCAACCAGCCCTGGCCACAAAAACATGTACTGACATCAGTTCCGTGTGTTGAACAAGGTTGGTTGCAGTAAGACGAGTGCCAGAGCCAGCTCCAAGGCAGAATCATTCAGGGGGTTCCCAGGGTGAAACTTCCAGCAAGCTGTTTCAGCTCACTCATGAGGACATACCCTAATCTGACCCTTTGTGTAGGTTATTGTGTTTGCAGTGTTTCTGGTACTCAAGTCTGTATAATTTTTTTTCTACACAGCCATGTTTTAAGGTTACCTCCTGTGGTCAGGTTAACCACCAGTTGTCATGAACTCTGCTGACTTGCCCTGGTGAAAAGTTTGTTCCTCAAAATCTAGTAAATAAGTTTTAATGCTTAAAGACTCGCAGCCAACAGTCAAGCAAAGTTGAATTCCAGGTTTGTTTTGAGAGATTGTAAGGTCGTTCATCAATTTAGGCATTAATATAGGGTTTATTATAGCAGGGGCGTTCTCCACTTTGTCCACTTATGAGGTTAAGATATCAAAAGGGTTTAAGGAGTCATTAAGCCCAAATGCTGTTTTTAGAGTTCCTTGAATTAGTGGAAAGATAGCGAGATATTCAGGGTGTGAATCCAAAATTAACCAAGTTGATCCAAACTTGGTCCTGTTTTAAGGCACAGACTTTACAACTCCAGTGGGGGCACTGGGAGTAGGGATGCCCTTCCTGGCTTAAGGGACTGAAACAGGAGAAAATTAAGCAGATCAAAAACCAGCATTATTCTGCCAAACCTGCTCTCCAGACATCTCCTTTGCAAGGGAGAAGGGAAGAATCCTGAGGCAGGGAGTTGTGAACTGGGGGAACCTCTGATTTAAAGGGACTTAAACTGTTGTGGGGCGCTTCAAGATTTCAATGTCAGTCATGTGCCTTTAATTGCTGCTAAAAATGCCAATTTCAAATAATAGTGTAAATAACCTGAGCAGAGCTGTAGCTAACTGTGTAATTTAATTCCATGAAACTATTGACATGTTTAAAAGTATGCAGATGCTAGTGTCTTATGCTAGATCAGGATCTTAATTATGCATAGTTTGAGATAATTGGGTTGCTTTAGCTTAGTATCTCAACCTGTTAATTCTAACTACTAAATTAGGATTCAGCTGTAATTCCTGTATGTTTAGTAGAACTATTTCAATTTGCTCCTGACATTAGGTAAGTGTTGTGATTAATTCTGCTTCTGTATTCTGGTTTTCTGTGGGAGAGGTCTGAGTTTAACACGTTCATATCACCAGGTAAAGTCAGACAATTGCATCTTTGCCCTTTGCTGTGATTTTTTCTCTTTCTTGTCTTTTAGAAGCTCATACTTAAAAATTCATCAAAAAGGTACCAAGTTTGACATTTTTAACAGAAACAAAAAATGTGGTACAGATTGCATCTGTGGTCGAGCCTGTGTTGAACAATCCAACCTTTCTCTTAATCTAAAATTTACATGCAAGGGCAGACTGATTATCTGCTTCCAGGTGCAGGAGTATAACTGAATGTCATTGTTTCCACAGATGAGCACCATGCCAGGACTGCCCACAAGGCCATGCTTCTATGACATTGACCTTGACCCCATCACAGAGCAAGTGAAAGGATTGTTTTGAGAGTGACATCCAAATTCAGGTCAGTCAACAGCCTTTATTTTCCTGTTCCAGCTTGGGGGAGGATGTTTGTGCCTAGCATGTGTGTAAGAAAGGTTGTCAGGAGTTTATCTAGGCTCTAGTTTCAGTATGGATTTCAGACACTTTGGGGGTGTATTTCATAATGTGTAATTTATCACATGGGTATCTCATTTGCTGAATGGTGACTGGCACTTTGCTGTTGTGCCTTTTGGATTTCCTGGCACTGTCAGTTTGGCACAGGAGGAGCCAGCTCTGCAACTGTTCTGCTGTTGGCTATGGAAAAAGGCAGTCTTGAAGAAACCATGTCATCTTACTCACCTCAAAAGAAATACTCCTTGATACTGCACTCAAGTGGCAGTGTGTGTCTGTCATTACCTAGGTATCAAGGAAGATATTTCTCAGTTTGTTCATGAGCTCTGCTTTGTTTGTTCATGTTTTGTTTTCATAGCTGTTATCATCTCTCTCAAATGGTAATAAGCATTTCAGGAACACAAAGCTCTCCTCTTAGCCTGTTTTTCATGCTGGATTCTCTCCCTTTTCCTCGAAGGTTGCAGTTCCCCCACCACCTCCTCCCTTTCTCTAGGTACTTAATCTTCTTGGTGTCCTGCTTTAATTTTGTGCAGCACATGTTCCTCACTTAAAAATACAAGATGTTATGAAAATATTTCATGCTCCTCCACTTTAACCTTTTAACATAATAAGTGGAGTAAGAGAGAATGTAACCCTGACTGAAACAAACCATGTGTGCCTGTCATGGGATTCTCTCCTTTCATCACTTAGCTCTCTCCCCCAATAGATTGGTCTGGAGAGCAAAAGGGTTTTTCTTTTTTAAGACAGAACAACACTATTACTATGAGCTAATAGGACTGTGATGGGACCCCAGATCAGCCACAGCTTTGAGGTGAATGTGCCCAGGTGCTTCAGCCCTGCTTTAGCAGTCCTTTCTTACTGTGGACTGAGAGAAAGGGCTTTCATTGTCTATTTCTGAGTTTGATGGATTGTTTGGAGGAGGGGAGGGGCTTGCACAACCCAACCAGACCAAGTGAACTGTTCACTTGCCCACACATTCACGTGAATGCCACAATATTCATGAGAATAAGAGATTCTGAGAGCAGATTCCACCAGTTTGTGTGTGTGCCAGTCAAGACAAGTAAAAAGCACCTACCTTGAAAGTTAACCTGCATGCACAGGTAATTGGCTGCATGCAAACCAGCCCTGACTATTCTGTGGCTGGGTGGCACTGCACATACCACTTCCTTGGCACATATCCCATTTTTGTTACTGATACACATGATATGTCTGGCAGCTTCGTGCATACATATTGATTCATCATGTGTCAGCCATGTAATTGCTTCTGAATCATTTGGAGTGACTGTAGGATCCTAATATAAAATCTATATGCAGATTCACATAGCCTGCTTAATTGGGTGTTTACTGCCTAGTCTTACACAAATCCATCCAAACCAGGGACTGATGAGTTTGGAAGAACAACAGTAATTAAGCAGAAAAAATACTCCATTCCAACTGTGAAGGCCTTTCATTGGAAGCTGTGCATGAAATGAAAATGTTAAACTTAGCTTTTAGTCAGTGATGGTGTTTTGTCAGATATAAAAAGAAATGCTAATGAAGTCACAAAAACATAATAGGTAGGAAATAACATATATAGCCAACTGTTAATAAATTATTTTAATTTCGTTGCAGAGGTATTGTTGGCATCTGACAGATGAATGATTCATTAAGGTTAAGCCTTTTAAATAAAATTCAGCTTGACTATATATATATATTTCACCAATATAGGCACATGCTCACCTCTCTTCCTACATTTAAGAATCTAAATAAATGCCTTGTGAGTATGGTAATACCCAGTGAGCACCACACAAGGTAGTCAAGTGTTCATTAGCTCTAGAATTCATCTGGTTCATGTGCTAGATTTGTACATTGCTAATTTTGGAAGAAGAGAGAAATAATATTCCCATGTAGTCTTTACTCCCAACTTTCTGTGGAGTTTAGTAGTATCCTTCACATACACACTGAAATGAACCCACACTGTAGGTGATATTAGGCTTTTGAGGTCTTTGTGGGTTTGTTTCTGTGATGGCAAATCAATTTTTTTTAATTTCATTTGAATTCTTCAGCATTTTAGTGTATGATGTAATATTACTAATAATATGGTGTTTTGCCAGGTCATTAGGGCTGATTCAGATCTTTAAGACATTTTAATTGGAAAATATTTAGAAATTTGTGGAAGAGCTGCAGATATTTCATTATAAACATGCCTGTAGATCTGAGAACAGTTGTTTTAGTGTGCAGTTAATATCCTCCTCTGCAATGCTTATCTTCAGACCTGTGAAAGAGATACAGGCAGAAGTTCCTGCTTCTCAGGATGCTGTGTGAGGCTCTGATTGTGCTAAAACATTGGGTGTCATTTGCCAGTCTCATTTTTCTCTACCACTTCACACCAATCATTTGAACATGCTCTAAAAAGTCATAGAAGCAAAAACCTTATCATAAAAGTCAGCTCTGTTTTTCCTCTGTTGACAAATAGCCAATACACGGGTAGACAATATTGCAGTCTCTCTGTAGGAGCAACATGATCTATCAAAAAAATGAAACATTAATATACAGAAATGAACCCAAAGGAATCTGGCTAGTCCTTCGTCATTGGCCACTGTCCTAGTTAAATTATACTGCCCAACTCATCCACTAAGAAAGTTGAAATTGTTCCCTTAGGAGCTGTCTGTAGAGAGCACCAGTCAGAGTAAGACTTACTTGGAGACAAGTCCGCCAATAGGAAAGAATAAATTAAAAAAAAAGTAATATTTGCTTAGTGAGGGGAAGTTCCACACTGGACTTGCACAAGTCTCTTAAGGACCTTTATGAGCTCTAAGGATCCCTCTAATTTAATCTGTGGCAGTAGGTGCCTGCTCTTACTGTGCAGGCTTTGAGTATCTGGGTTGATGGCTGCAGGGGGAAATTGTTCTCCTCAATTGGTTGTGACTTCATAAGGCTGCCACTGCCCACAGTGGCTGATGTATTCTCACACTCTTCAACACTGGCACAGCATCAGAATTATTATAATACACAGCCTGGCTACTTAGAGCTTTTATGAACTTGAGAGGAATCAGGGTTCTGCCTGTGAGCATCTTCGTGGCCATAAAGAGAGAGGAGACCAAAACTGGTGTTCTAAAATTGCAAACTATTTGTTAGATGTTTTCATCTTAATTTATTCAAATACAAAAAGAAAGTGTTTTAAGACCTTTCCCTTACATCCACTAAACTAAGCCTATGGACAAAAAATTACTTCCTTTAGCCTTATTCCACAGTATTAGCTTTCAGTCAGCAACAATTACTACAGTAATGTGCACTCTGAAGTCTGTATCATGCTGGAGTACAAGTACAGATTTTTGTTTCTCACCTAGTAGGGCTGCACAGATAATAAATAGAAGGTGCATATGGCATAACTATACATTTTTGTTTATTGTGGTTAAGGCAAAAATATCCCATTTCACTGAAGCACTCATTTTAGAATGTGATGCCTTTTTTTTTTCTTTAAAGAAAGCAAAGATATCTTGTTTCAATGTATAAATTTCTTATCTTTGTCATTTCAGAAGCCTGAAAATTAAGAACTCCAACTTTCCTGTTTCCTGCAAGTAGGAGACAAAAAATGAATCTGAAATATTCCTGTTATGTGTCTCTGGAGCAATGTCAAGATAGACCAAAGAGCAAAAGTTTACTTTTTCTTCAAACTAGTTTTTATGATGAAATATAGCTGTATGGTTAAAAACAAACAAACAAACAAACAAACAAAACCACAAAAAAAAAAAAAAACATGGCAAGCTAAAGTTTTTCTCTCTGTAATGCAGGAAGCTCTCAACTAGGGCTTACGCTTGTTTGTGGATAAAATGACATTGAAAAAGAGCAGTTTTTCAACTCAGAGTTTTTGTCTTTTCTCAGAGGAGTGTACAGAAGTATTTCCTTTATCTTGGCTATCTACTAAAAACTTGCATAAACATGATTATGCTGTGTGACCAAGCCTATTTCTCTCTGAAAAGTACACTTTTGCTCCTGGCATTCAAGAGCTGAAACTACACACAGATTAACTGCACATTTTTGAGTTATCATCAAGCGTTGCTCTGGATGCATTTGGGCAACAGCCAAGCTTCAAGCAAGGAAGATATTAAACAGAGAAAGAACAGAGCATGTATTTTGTAAAAAGTTTTTAATGTATAATTTGTTTCCTTGTTGGGCAGAGATCTTTTGAAACACTTAAGCCGTGGCTGTCTTGTATCCATAGGTCTGTCTTTATCCGAAGCGTGTGTTACAGGCTGTCCAGCTGATTATGTGCTTGTTGTGGTGAAGCTGGCTGCTCAGACAGGGCACTGCTCCTTCTGAAGCGCTGTTTTGCTCCTGTTCATGGCTAATGAAGCCTCCTGCTGTGCTGGCTCCCGACCTAGAGTTGTTCCCTGGCAGTACACAACGGCCCAGAAACAACAGAGGAACGTCCATCAAGCGGGGATGCAGACAGGGCACAGCTTTTTTTTCTGCTTCATTTTGCAGGTTTTAACGGCCACACTTGTACAAGTGGAGAGTATCTCCATTCGAAGAGGCATTCAAACAAGTTGAATTACAAAGCCTGTGCTTTCATTTGTCTCAGTAACTTTACTTGCCTGGTTTTTCCTAAGACCTGTAGCAAAACAAGCCTTAGGCACAGGATACTGCATTGAACTTTCCAAACTGCTACTCCTCAGGAAACTCTCGCTGACTGACTGTTGGTTCCTTCAGTAACAAAAAATGCAACAGAACAATAGGGTGAATCGAGACAATAGGCCATTGTTTTTTTAGGTAAAAAGCGGTGAAATAATGATGAGAGAGTTTATTTTCCTGATGACGTTTTCCATCCTGTCGCTTTGCTCTGCTTACGCACATCTGCATGTTATGGGCTTTTGCAGTGTAGCCTTGGTTCCCTTCTACAGAGCCACATTTGGAG